GTAGGGGACAAGCATGGGGGACTGCAGAACCAATGGTGAAGGAAGTAAATATCCCTGCTAACTCCATTTTGGCCCGTAACTGTATGGATCCAGTCCTATGATTGCAAGGCTGTGCAAACTTTACTGGTACTTATGTATTCTCCCCTCTTACAAATACAGCTTCTCCTCCTTCTGTCATCAATCCATCCTGCTAGTCAAAGTACTGTTGAAGCCCTCTGAAAAGAAGGAGACTCACAACTACATAACCCTATGTTGTTCTTCCCAGTTTAAAAAACAACTTAAAAAACTGAGGTGAACTGAAGCACACGCCTCATTTTTTCCTTCCTCTCCTTGTTTTCAAGGACCGGTACTCCTTAATACAATAACAATGCACACACCACTGCCCTGGTGCTGCACTGTTGTTTTCCATCTGGAAGAAGCAACATGGGCAATGGGGCATGGACAACCTCAGCAGCTTACTTTGGCCAATGGCTACTGTTCAAGACATCAGCCAAATGGAGATCACCTAGAGATAAAAGTAATATTGCCAAGTTGCTACAGTAATCAAAAAGTGAAACATTACAGCCAGGACTCAAAAAGCACTAAGGATGGTTTAGAATTATCATTTCTGAACCACAGCCCTGCCTCTAAAAACCATGTAATATTCCAACCATTTAGAAATTTGTACACAACAGGCAGCAGAAAAGAGAAAGAGCGTTGCAGTTCTGAAATTATACTTAATATCTCCAGCTGCACTAGCACAATAATATAGGGGGTACATACATAAAAGGATTATCTGGGTTTAGGAACAATGGGATACTCAAGCTGTCGTGAAGTACCAAAACTACAATATATGATAGCATTTGATATGAATTAACAATTCACTGAGCTACTGACTCTTTGTTATTTGAGGTACTGTCATGTCTAGAAGCTCATATAGCTTCTTAGAAATGAAATAAATACTATCATTTGCAATGTAAGAAAAAGAATTAAGAGGAGAGAACCAAAAAATGGGGGGAAATGCACACCCAGGACAGGGCAGAAGGGAAAGCAGGGATACAAACATAATTACTTTTCCTGCTCAAAATATATATATTTCATGATAGAAGGAAAGAAATAGGTACCTGTTAAGTATGAACTTTTCCTTGGAGACTGTTGGTTTTTACCACCCTTGTTTTGTATGTTTTTCTTTTTACAATATCCAAGTCAAATGCTATGTTTACAAATAAATTACACAAGAGGAGAAGCTGCAAGGGAGGGGAAATCTCATTTCCATAACTATGGCTTTCTTCAACCTCCTCCTACAACAGCCCAAATTGCCATTTGACCTCAAGTTATTTGCTTTTTGCAATATCTGTTCATGCTTAGATATCTCAGGTAAGGGTTGTAGAGGCAGCTGCCAATTTTGAGGTGGATAATTTTAGATTTTTCTGCAAGCCTGAAAGCTCCCCCCCCCCCTCCAATTTACAGAACATTAAATGATAGCAGTGGCTTGCCATACTGGACAGACTTGGTAATACACACAGGCACCAACCCTTTGCTATTAAATATAGTGAGGAAAAATGTTAAATAAACTAGTCTACATACAGGACAACATAGGCTGCTATATATCCATTACAAGATGTCAAAATGTAACTGTGCATAGGAAGTTATTCATTTGTTTCTAGTTTGCTTCTGAGAGCTAGAAATGTTGTCCCACTATGCTATAACACCGACTTCCAAATAAAGGACACTTGCTAAAGAAATACAAAATTCAAACAATTATATTTTGTGCCTTACACAGTATATGGTCACTTAATTTTAAAACTACATCTGCTTCTGTCACAAGCAGTTTTTAAAAATTGGATTGGGGGGAGGGGTCCAAATTACAAATGTTAAATTCAACATTAAGTTCAGCATTCCCTGCCCCCCCAAAATAAACACAGATAAAACAAATTAGGATATTTATCATTGGAAGTATTACTGCTTCCCATTTTTGGCAAGCCTTTGAAATAAGAAGTTTGAAGTAGAGCAGAAGAAAAGAGCCATTGATGGAAACCACAACTCCAGAACTACAACCCAGTAGTCTACTGGAGTAGAACCAATGAAGCCATTAGATGATGGCAACACTAACCTAAGCATGGTCAAAATGAATTTTACTGAAGATCAGGAAACAGGAGTGCTTGCCTCTGATTATTCTGTAATAAGTAATCAGGATTCTCTTTCCATAAAAAAGTCCATGGTAAATTTAAACCATAAGGGATGATATATACAAGACATGTAAGTAATATTTCAAAGGAAGAGTTTTCCTAAAAAGATATTGGTAGATCTTGAAAAAATATGCTGCTGAATCTGCAGCAGTGGCTGCTGGAAAACATAACCTCAAGCCTCTAATTAAGCTGCTCTGCAAAAGAAGCAGTATCATTTCTTCCTACTCTGAAATGTGGAAAAGCCACCCCCATCAAATAAGAGATGGTACTCTGATGTATTAAAAATGAAGTAGCTACAAACCTAATGAGGAACAGACTTGCCAGTATACATGGCCACACAAATACATACACACACACACTCACATACAATATCCCAATTCTAAAGACGACAACTGAAAATTTATGGCTATTTCCTTCCCTGGCAGACAGGAGTACAACTAGAATTCTCAGAACAGCAGCCCTTTTGTGCCAGCATGCTGTGTTATGTTTATACTACCGCAGATAAACCAGATGATTAAATAAATACATAGCACGGCAACCTTTCTGCATCAGGGCAGTACATAAAATAGTAAAGCAGTTTAACTAATCCATTCAATTGGTCCAGTTGGGATCAACAGGAATTCAACACAGAGAATATCTGGCACAATCAAGCTGAAAACAGCAACAACATTATACCTCTACACTTACCATCCAATCCTACCCAGTTATTCCAGTCTGAGTCCACTGAATTCAATGAACATAGCTGAAGACATTTTTCATAGGATGGCAATTAGACATGCGGGTAACTGACTTTTCCTCTCATTGATAAAATATTCAAGGAGATGCATTTTTAAGTTTTTCACTTTCTTCTTATGAGACTCAATAACACAATACTATCATCAAGCTCCAGAAATTCATGTATATTTGACATTTTTGTAGAACATTTTTTTAGCCAATGCCTTCATAAAAATAAAAAATCTTCTCTAACCCTATTTCATCTCAAATGGGGATGCCTATTTCATACTCTTTTTGCAGGGTCCCCTGAGCAGCCTTTATATATGTGTACATCTAGAGAAAAATAGCTGCTGGGCCCATGAGAATCACTTATACCACTGATTTCAGATTCCCCCAGGGTTCTCATAATCTAGGCAGAAAACGTCTCCTCCACAGATAGGCCCACTAAATCCAAACCACACCACTATATTTTAACATTGCCACTAGTTACCTTGTGTCTTGTGTAGGGGCCCAGAAATCAGCTACCACAGCAAACTGCTAACATCAGGAAAATAATTAATAACTAATGACCATATTTTCTGTGTTACTGATACTCCTGTCAGGAGATGTTTCAAACAGGAACTATTATCTTCACAGAACAAATGTGTTATAGTTATCAAAGAACACAGTCATATCCAATGTTCCCTCTAAGCTGTGGAGTCTTGTGAGCAAAAATTCTACTTTGCGAGCTACTGGCATTAAAGTTGTGAGCGAGCGATTTGGCTACTGCATAAATTAGTTTGGTCTGGAGCCATCCTTCCTGAGCTAAGACAAAAATGTGTGAGCCGGGGGCTAAAAAACTGTGAGCTAGCTCACACTAACTCAGCTTAGAGGGAACACTGGTCATATCTATCTAAAATTGCTTTGATTTTCAAACACCAAATAAGCTCCACTTTTACAGGTTGTCTCTTTTTATAGATATAGGGTTGGATCCCATGCACCACTAGCAGAACATGCTAATGGATCTTTCCCAACTTCCTCAGATGCCCTCTGTAAGCACTAAGAAGTGGGCAGAGGACCCAGACAGAGCAAAAAGTCACATGACATGGATAGTTCCAATGAGCTGGGAAAACATGCTGAATCTCCCCTCTCTGCTTCTTACACAAACTGGTGGAAGCGCCACTAGTAGAAGGAGCAAGAGGGATGATTTGTACATTTCCAATTTCCATATGTCAACAGTTGAGTCATTCCTACTAATACTAGGCTGGTGTTTCCCAAAACACAGCAGATATAGCAAGCACAGATAGTCTTTTAACCAGGGTTTTTTTTTCTTGAAAAAGAGGTGCTGGAACTCTCAAGAGGGAAATAAAGTTTTCAATCTGTATAATAAAAGTTCATAAACTTTTAAACACTTTTAAAAGAATTTTATCGAAGAGGTTCAGGAACTCTGTTCTGGGCTCATTCCACCAGAAAAAAGCCCTGCTTTTAACAATGCTCTTTTCCCACATTAGACAACACTGGAATATAATTTATTTTAATGATTTCTAATTGTTAAAGAATTCCAAAGCAGCATGCAACAATTTCCCATTAAAATCATATAAAATTTAAATTAAACAAAGTGGACCCTGCAGAGTACTATAGCCTACAATAAAACTACAAGCCAACTATAAGCATAAACTAAGCATTAACTTACAAAAACAGCACTCTTAAACAAAGTCACTGTAACCAGGAGAAAAAAACCTAAGAGGGAAGGAGCAAAAAGACCTTTGTAGGGGAGAGAATTCTATAACCTTAGTGCCAGTACTGAGAAGACCATGTTTCACTTAACCATGAATCATAGACAGGGAAGTAACATAGAGGTGGGCAAAGCCAAATCTCATAATGCAAACCTGGGACTTGAGGGTACAGGAGAATTAACATGAAAGCACTTCCCTGTCCATTTCCTGGCAGAGGTCATCAATTAAGGTGATCAAGTCCATTTTTATGTCAAACCAGGATAGAAACCAAACTGAAAAGGATCTAGAGAATTCATTATCTCCAAAAATCCTACAGCTGAGATCTTATCATCTGCTCAGATCCATTAAAAGTAATTGAACAGAGAAGTAAACTGGCAAGGAAAAAACAGGAAAATATCCTTACCTTGCCATTCCAAGACTGGAAAAGTTGGATGGAACAATCAAGACATCAAGTCTGGAAAAGGGATGGGTACCAAGCAGAGCATAAGCTGCTGAGAGGCACTGAGGAATCAGCTGTAGGAGAACTTTCTCACAAGATTCCTTAAGGCACCAAGGAGCAAAGAGTCGATGAGGAATGACCACCTGAGCAGCAGCCACAGGATCTTGAAAACGGCAAGGATATCGTGAGTGACCACAAGCCTGTTCAAACATCCTGAGAATAACAAATAATTGAATGATTTAGTTTGACATTTCTAACAAGCACAGTTAAAGAACAGCTTCCGAACACACTAAGACAATGCAGCTGTGAAGTGTCATGGGGTTTTAGTAAGGCACTTCAGCAACAATCCATTTGGATCAGAAAAGCTAATTCTTCCCTTTCATTTGTGGTATAAGAGATTGTCTGTTATAGTGATAATCTCTGTCAAACAAGAAAGCCAATCTGATGTAGTGGTCAGACAAGGGTCTGCGTGAACAAGGTTTGAATCCCCACTCTAGGTGACCTTGGGTCAGTCACCCACAATCAGCCTAAACTACCTCAAAGATTTATTGTATGGATAAAATGGAGGAAAGCGATTTTAGGTTTCCATTGGGAAGAAAGGTAGGGTTCAAATGAAAATAAATAATAAATAACTAAAATAAATATATTGAGCCGCACGAAATCAGAGGTGAAAGTATCCATTACTGGCTAGTATCATGTAGCTGTCAGCAGGGGTCATTTCGTAGAAAAAGAGGTGCAGGAGCTCATTAGCATAACTCATTGGCATTACTTATTTGCATATGCCACACCCCCTGACATCAACGGAAGTGTGTCAGAAGGCAACACCCACCGCTCAGGCTCCACTGGACTCTTTTGGATTGCTAGCTATGGGGGGGGGAATGTGCATATCTGTCCTTGCAGAGGAGAGAGGGCTTGTACCTGAATAAAACTTGGTCTTAAAGGTGCCACTGGACTGTTTTGGACCGGGGGGGGGGCTCTGCAACTTACCTGGCTGCTTCTTGCTCTGACTGAGGGCTGCTGGGAGCAGGGGGTGGGGCTTGTTGCATGTGCCCGCCCCCTGGGCTCTTTACTGCCGGAGCTCCGCCCCTGTGTGCTCCTGCAGGAAATGACTCCAGGCTGTCAGAAAGTAGATGAAGCAACAAGTATGACAAGGCTTGATATCTGGAAGTGGGTGTTTCCATGTTTCTGTCTGACAGCTGCTATGGGAGGCTTTCATAGTTTGTCAAGACTATTTCTCCCACTGCTTGGAAGCAAAACAAAAGAGGGTCCCACAAGGGAGGGGGAGATGCTTACTCATTGGCCTGGTTTACTGACATATGGCTTGGCTGACTTGCTTGAGTCTCAAGTCAATTACCTCATAGGCATCTTTCTGATACCCACAATTTGCATCCCTGCCACTTGGAAATGTCACCATGACTGCTTTAAAAAAAAAAAAGATTAGAAATGTAGGCAGGGAAACAGCTCCAAAGATCCAAGGCAGAACTGGTCCATGGCTCTGGAGATAAGAACATAAGAGATGACATGCTGGATCAGACCAACAGTCCATCTAGTGCAGCAGCCAATTTCCCTGCAGCCAATCAAGATGCCTCTGGAATGCTTACAGTAGGGAAGGAGGCCAAGACCTCCCCCTGTTGTTTCAACTATAGTCCAGCATGGATGTAACAATGCTAATAATGTACTTGGAACTCACAAGCTCCCTCTCCTCTCCTCCACCAATTTCCCCACTTATCTCTTGTTAACAGTTTAGTGCTACACATGCACCAATAATCAGGAACAAGATTTTAGGGATATCAGCTTTTGAGTGTCAAAGTTCCCTTTGACAGGTCTCTAAGGTGCTACTGAATACATATCTAGCTGTTCTACTGCAGGCCAACACAGCTCTGAAATAATAAGCAAGTTAATATTAACTATGGTCTTTCTTAACTACCTGGTGGAATGAGCTCCCAGTGGAGATCCGGGCCCTGCGGGACCTTGTACAGTTCCGCAGGGCCTGTAAGACGGAGCTCTTCCACCAGGCGTATGAGTAGGAGCCGCCACTACCATCACTATTGTCCATCTTAACCTGGCCCTGGAGGAGGGAACATCAGTTGTTCCCGGAGCAGATGATGCTGAGGAACAAAGTAGTGGAAATAGAGCAGTGAAATACGCCATCTTGGGAAATAACATCTAGAGCACTATTTAGTAATTGGTTAATGTGATTTTATTTGTATTGTAGTGATCTTAAATGATTTTAAATATGTTTTTATATTGGCGCATGCCTCTTTGTAAGCCGCCCTGAGCCCGCGCTGCGGGGAGGGCGGGGTATAAATTGAATAAAATAAATAAATAAATAAATAAACTAGGATTTGTAACCCCGCTTCAAATCCTCATTAAGAGACATCTGCATTGATTACTGCAATAAAACCCCATTAAAATAGGTCAGTAGTACTACTAAAGCACAGTTAAAGCCAACAAAATTAGAAAGGGTGCCATGATACAGAAGGGACGAAAATGGTATAGTTAGCTCCTGATCTCTTAACCATCTCTTCCCCATGGTTAAGAGATCAGCATTTACATCTGTACCAACATGTACATCCGTTTATCATCTGCAGAATATAGGCAATAAATTCTTAATACATGGGGATGTTCTGACTGAAGTTTCCAATACCGAGGTAAGAACTTATTAACAGCATCATATTTCAAATTCCTTTGAACATGTTCCTTATGATAAAACCGATTACCTGTTGCAGGCCCAAAAACTCTGAACACAAACTATATCACAAGTATAACATGCTTTTCTGTGGTATTACTGGATTGCAAAAAATATGAACAAAGGGAAACTATTAAATGCAAAGTATATCAAATATTGCTAGATTGTAAAAAGTAAAAAAAATAGAAAACATCATTAGGTCATAGCAGTAGTAAGGGGACGGCAAAGGAGGAGATGGTTAGACAGATCGAGACAACAAACATGAAATTAAGCAAACTCCAGAGCACGATGGAAGACAGGAGGGCCTGGCGTGATGTGGTCCATGGGGTCGTGAAGAGTCGGAGTCGACTGTGCGACTGAACAACAACAACAAAAGTAGTAAATGAGGATAATTTTTTCAAAAAGTAGACTAAGAAGGACATACAAAAGTGGTCTGCCAATTTATATATAGTGAACAGGAAATACATATAGCTATTCTCACAATATTAGAACTAAGGAGCACCTACTTTAAACTGAACACTATCAATCAATGGGAGAGAATAAGTCACTATCTAAAGTTTAACATCATAAACTCTTTGTAACTTAAAAGACAAAGCATTATGTCCCACTATTTTTCATTAAACTGTTCATTAACATACTTCAACCAGAATTCGTAACTGAATTTTTAAAAAGGAGTTTGAACTTGAAAATCTCTTACAAAACCCCTATTTTCAGTTCCAGCAATGGAACCATCATTTTAAACATCCAAAAGTTAATTACAATGTTAGAATAAAAGCAATTAGAGTGATTTAAAAAGCACATATGATCATAATGGAGGGGGGGAGTGTGAGAGCCTTACATAGTTAAGATGTTAATTCTCCACACACTTCAGTTAAAGTGAATCAATGTAAAAACCAAACCAATTCATTACTCAACAAACAATTTTGTTTTCTAGATATGCAACACACCCTTGCCCATCCTTGACTACTTAACTAATATCTCTCTTATATGGTTTCCCTCTCCTTAAACATGTTCTGCTATTGTTCTTGACTTTGATGACTCATTTTCTTATATAACACAAAAAATGGAATACCCTGTAAAGTACATATTTTTCAGCTATAATCACCAACCTGACATCCTCCTTTGAGCATAATGGAAATAATTCATCATTCCTTTTTGCATCAGTTCCACAAGCTTCTCTTTTAACTTCTGCCCAGCATCCAACAGCAATAGTGAAGGTGGATGCTGGCATCGGCATGGTCACATAATAAAACCAACTGAATCTGCCTATGAAAAAAGAGCATCAGTTATCTACTGCATAGCCATTTGCACTGCTAAACTTAGCCAATGCTTCCCTGTCAGCTGCCCAAAAAGCTTGAGGGTTTTCCCCCTTCAAATTCTGCCATACTGATTTTATATTATTGTAGATTATTATTACTATGCAACAAACCATAATGATGATGATGATGATGATGATGATGATGATGATGATGATGATGATGATGAATCGCCCCACCCCTGCTACTGCAGGGCTCTGGGCGATGTACAACCAGAGATAAAACAATATAAAATTATTTAAAAACATGAGTACAACATTAAAGTCAATCAAATGGTGAATAACCAATCCTCATTCCAACTCCCACTGCCAGGTACTTCATGGACGGGGGGTGGAGGGCAAAATATATGTAAACAACAGGGAACGGGAAGGGTGACAACCAAGATAAAATTCAATGCCCAGGCCAAACCCCCACACCAAGAAACCCAAAATAAGGGGAGTGCATTCCTACCATGATGTGAGCCCCCACTGTGAAGACATTTCTGAGAAACACGACCCCTAAGGGGGCAAAAAGTTTTCCCCCAATTGTTTTCCATGTGCCTGGAAAGCTACTGTTTAAGGATGGGCATGAACCAAACCACGAAGCAAAATTCACCACAAATTCTGCCGTTAGTGGTTCGCAAACAGAAGTTCAGGATGGGTCTACTGCCACAAACTTTAAATCAGTTTGTGGAGGTTCATGGTGGTTCATGGATGGAGCAGAAAGCAGGGGTTTAAAGGAACTCAGAGTCCCTTTAAACCCCTGCTTTCTGTTCCCCACAAAAACTGTGAGGAGACACTTCCGCCACTCAGCTGTTTCAGGCTGTCTTGTGCTTCCCACCTCTCAGCTATTTTGGGCTATCTTGCTCAGTGCCTTTAAAGTGGACTGCAGAAGACAGCCTGAAACAGCTGAGCAGTGGGGAGCCCCACCCCCATCCCGATGCACAGCTGTTTTTCAGGCTGTCTTCTGCAGTCCCTCTAAAGGGACTGGACAAACAGAAGTTCATGACAAGACAGCCCAAAACAGCTGAGTGGCAGGGAGCAAGCTGCTCCCCATCGCTCAGCTGTTTTTCAGGCTTTCTGCAAACCCCATTGAAAGGGACCATGAAAGGGACTTTCAACGGGGTTTGCAGGGCCACAAACCACAAGCCAATATGGTTTGTGAACAAACATGGCTCAGTTCATACCCATCCCTTGTACTGTTATATTAACTTTAACTATTTGTTTATTTTATTTACATTATTTATAGTCTGCCTTTCTCTAGACAGACATGAGCCCTAAGACCAACAGTGTTTTGCTTTATTGTACAGAGATGTATTCATAGTAGACTCATAAACACTATAAAATAATCATAAGTGCCATTTAAGAATAAAGAAAAAAATCAAGAAAAAAACAGCAGCAACATGGGAAATTATGAGCGACAATAATGGGGTGAAATGCATCCCAGCTGAATTGGGAAATGAGAGTGAAAATCAATGAGGCAGAATCAGAGAAAACAGCTGAAGACAAGGCAACTTAACTAAATAGTCAGAAGGCTAGCTAAGGGAAGAGGAGCCCCTTGCCAAACAGGGGACTGCAGAGAGAACAAGCATAAACACAAGCACATACACCAGCCCACTTGAGCAGGAAAAGTGAAAACACTCCAATTATCTACTTTCTTTCAGAATGAGGTAAAAGGCTTTTTTAAATTTAACTCACTCAAAATCTGTGATATGAAAATTTTTACATAAAGCAATCTACAGCATCATCTAATAATATAGTGTAAACACATTTTAAGGATTATTGTTTAAATAGGACTAATTTTTTTCACAAATTAATTTTCTATTGAAGAATTCCATGTTTTCAGTGTTATAAAGTTTAACATGATATCTAAACATGCCTCTAGTCCTATTATCACTGCATGTAATGCCTTCTGTTCAAACAGAATATCTCCTTTGCGCTTACTATAAAATTTGTGTTTTTATTTTCGACAGTTCATATCTCTCAGGTGGCAAAAACTGAAATACAGGAGCTCAGGCAGTAT